ATACTTGCACTTCATACTTAAGTAGTGGTGTAAGTAGTCGTGTGTTTCTTAAATCTACATAGATGGAGAGATTTCAAAGACACGAATTGAAGAAGGCATTTGATCCCATCTGGTCTCTTTATAGCAGTTCTGTCTGTGTAAGCAGCCATACAAGAGCTCGGTACATTTTCAGTTTTGCAGGCTCTGTTGGATATCTTCACTCTGATTTGGCATTGGCACTGTTGAGAACATTGTACTTCTTAGGATCACCCTTTCAATGTAGTAGAAAGGAGATGCTTTTGAAAATGTTCCCAACAAAGGGTCACTTTAAAACAAGCAACCAAATGTACTTTCATGTGCCAAATACTGGCAACATGTCCTAATGTTTTTCCCACAAGTACACTTTTAAAAGTGTCCAGTAGCTCAAAGCTACTTCAGGGCCGTTCAGCAGTTTCCATCACTGCAAGAATATCTATTGAATAACTGAATCATGGTGAGGATTTGGGCACCTCTGATCATACTGTTGTGTTTAGGCTTTGATTTTGTGAAAGTTATCATAGCTAATTTAAAATTGTGGCTGATACATCTGTGAGGATGCCAAAGGCCTGGAGAAAGCAGATGCTTAATATGGTTTGGTCTGTGGGTTGCAGGATTCTTTACAGTAGCAGGTAATGTACAGTTGATAGTAGAAAGGTGGAGGTTTTCCTAGAATTAGCAGCTAAAGTCTACAGGTACCTGCTTCAGGGTTCTTTATTGAAGCAGTGCTATAGAGAACTCTTGGACAAACTTCAGAGTCTGGAAAAAAGGCTGACTGTTTCAGAGTTATTCTCCTGCACCCACTGAACTGTATAATGTGTGTTGGGGATGAATTCCAGGATTCAACTTTTCAACTGTAGCACTGATTATAAATTTATGTGATAGGTCTATCAAGTATTTTTCAAAGAGTGACTAATTACTCAGACTTCAGTGTTGTCTTTACTAGATTTTTGTGTTTGGTTGCTCATTGTCTTCAAATCAATGTAGAATTTGAAGTTGGCTCTGTGGTAGTGTTTAGTTTGTCATACCAGAAACATGATCCAAGTTCCTTCCTTTCAACTGATGACTACTGAGGTTGTCAACTTCAAAACCATCTGAATTCCATTCTCTTTTCTCATTTCTGTCAGCTTTAGTTATATCTTGAAGGAGGCTACATATAACAGTAATCCCTGTTCTCACAGTGTTCAAATGTATCAGTACTTTGTCATAGACAGTCACTTCCAACCAGTAAGACACCAAGCTCTTCTTTTTTATTGGTTTGAGGGAAGAAGGAGGAAGCAAAAGAGAGCTCTGTTTTCTATTGTTGCCTTCATCTTTATGTAGGGTTGCTTGAACTCTAAGCTCTGTGTTGTTTTCTTGGCAATATCAGTAAGAAACATATAAGTGCAAAAAACCACCAACCCAATAATTCTACTAAGAATCTTGCAGCTGGACTGAAAAGAAATCAGGATAGTTTCTGAGGATTAGTAGGGAGAGATTAAAGGGTTGTATGTCTTCAAGATCAGCCAGAAGAGAGAATGATGTTCTCAGATGTCGATAGGGATGCTCTAGAGTGTTTCTGGCTAGGACAGCCTCAGAATCATGAAATTCAAGATTGTGATGACAAACTACTTTTTTTAGTGATGAATTTATTGCTGGAGGAGTGTGTGCACTACTACAGTTTCCACACAGACCTTGTGCATGTGAGGAGGGTCAGCAGAGGACTTGCACTACTCTTTTTTCTTTTTTTTTTTTTTTTTCCCCTCCCCTCTTCTATGAGCAAAAAAATGCTGTAAAGGGATTTAGGTTTTGTTACGAAATGAGGTGATCTAGTAGCAGTGTAAATACCCAAAATGGATGTGGGAGTGTGTTTGCATCCCTTTCTTAACTTCCTGAATTCCCTTCTGTGACAGAATGAGTATGAAAAGAGTATGAAGCCAATACTGTATGTATGTCCTTCTGCAGACCTTACCCAGTGTCTTACCTTGAGGTGTTCTGAAAACTTCTCTGTTCCAGGTGACATCTTTCTGCATTAAATGTGCTTTTCATCTGAATGGAAATACAGTTTATCTGGTTATTAGGAAGCCAGAATGTGTAATAAAACCCAAGCTGTGAACCCACAGTAATGGTTGACTTATGTGCAGACTCTAATACATACATATTAAGGTAAACAGATGCTGTAAAGTCAAGCTTATTTGAAGATAAACATTAGCATTTCTTGAAATGTGATAAAATCTGATGAAAGATGAAAAACTTAGTATTAATGAAACAAACCTGCAGTTGAATTGATCTGAGAGGTGACAGAACCTGAAAGTACTTTTCATCTGATCTGTTATTGGAAAGTATTAATGTTTTTTCTGCAGATCATCCAATACAAGAAGAGAGAATGTGGCTTCACCATTTTTAAGATTCCTTGAGAGGGAAAATGCAAAAGAAGTGTTGTGGGTTTTGGGGTTTTTTTTGGTTTTTTTTTTTTTGGGGGGGTGGGGGGTTGGATCCTGACATAGATTTTTCTTTGCTATCCTTTATGACATAAAGGAGCACACCATCATTGCTGACAGCTGAGATTCAGGAGTTAGTTTTGTAATCAAGTTATTTGGTAAGTTCCTAGTTAATTGGGCTGCTCAGTCTGTTTTTCTGCATATAATGTGGCAGTGTTATAATGTAATCAACAGGAAAATGCAGTAGTTGATCTTTACTTTTATTTACTGCACATCAATTAGTGTTCCTTGAAAATAAATTCCTAAAAATGGCACAAAGGTGAAGACTTGGACAACAAGGGAAGATGGGGTGAGAGAGAGAGAGGTAGATGTGCTAGGAGAAAAGTATCTGGGGTGAGTAGGGCTGCAACGTAAACATCTTTATGTATAACCTGTGCTTGTGGTGAGTTACGGAGTTTCTCACGTTTTGTTGTGGAACAGCCTACCAGATTAAATGTAACAGTACTTGTGAAGAGATTTGTTACACCCTCTGTTTACTAAAGCAGAAAGCTTCTCAAAGCATGTGGATGATGAAGGAAATGTAGGTCATTTCTTTACCTCTCTCTTCTGGCTTTCCTGCTTTATATAGTAGTAAATAGAGTGTTTTGTCTCTAAAGCTTTTCTGCCTTCTTCATTTTTCTGTGACTTGATCTGTCCTGAATATTTTTTTTTTGCCTTGGTGGGAACAGTGGAGTCTGTAGCAAGGAATGGAGTTTGTAAATGCAGACCATGACGAAACATGCTCACTGCTGAAGTAGGCAAGTAAGCTAGTCGTTAGCCTTACTGTTGAGGTGTTCTTTTACATTGTGTTGCATATGCAGTGCTGGTAGACCCTTTGTCCTAAAGATTCCACAGGCAAGTGAAGAACTAAACTGCAAAGTGTTTCAGAATCATTTGGTACTGGCACAACTTCCCACAGATCATTTGAATGTGAAGGGAGTTCAGCCATGCTTAATGACTTTGCTGAATTGATTAAGAATGGGATTTTTTCCCCCCAGTCAAATTGCAAAGCATTAACAAAGCAAGCTTTTTTCTATTTAGAAACTTCCTTTTTCTTTTTCCTCTGTGCTTCACCCCTGTTTTTTCTGGTATACTTGTACATAGTTTATGTGTGTATAGACACCAAGCTGTCCCTTCTTTGTATGTTGGGTGGGAAGAGTTTCAAATCATACAAATTCTATTTCCATTGAATTTGGCAGCTTTGTTGTTATTTTTTTAAACTAAACTGGGAATGGAACTTGACCTTTGATAAATACTGGGATAATGTGAAACAGTAACCCATGACACATCCTGAACAGCTGAGCACCATCACTTATGGGCAGGGCTAAGAAGTGGGAGGGCTCTGTTTTGCCTATCTATAGGTATTCTGTATTAAAAACTCTTAGGGAACTGGACTGAAAACAGTATAAAATTATAACTTAGTTTCAGGTGATAATGCAGTTACATTCAAACCAACACAGGGAACTTAGAGACTCTTCTGTGTTAGTTGATTCCATTGTAACCCAATTTCTACATATCCAAAGCTGCTCATTAAGCTTCCAGTGTTACATTGTTGTAACTATTTCCACCACACAGGATTCTGTTTCTAAATTTATGGGGTATATGTTGTCTTTGTGGCAAACTTGACTGCTGTAACAAGCTTCTGATCCCTTTGTAAGTTTGCAGAGTTTTCATTGTGCCTCTTACGTCTTTGTACTGAAGGCAGCACCATGTATGTCATCCCAAGTTCTGTAGAAAGCATCCAGTCCTCTGCTGCAAACTGCTAACTTGCTAGTTCTCAAACAAAAACAAATACATCAAAACCTTTGAAGATATGTTTCTTTTTACTTCTGTTTATGGCTTCTGTGCCCTTTGCCATCTGTACTTGCAAAAAGATCTTTTCTTTTTAAAATAGGATGATGACTTGATTATTTGGCTTTCAAGTAATTGTCATGTTGAAATTGTGATAACGTTGAGAACTTTTTAAAAGACTGCAAGAACCATATTTATTTTTCCAAATATAAACCTGAAACACTCTGCTGTTGCAAATCTATGAATTCTTTGCTTTGTTTATATGAAAAGTGAATATTCTACTTTCTATTTTGTGTTAGCAATGCCTTCTCAATGCTATCAGTAGCAGTAGCTTAAATGGGAAAACATGCAAAGAAATAAAATTAGGAGCCATTGGAAGAGCTCTCTTTTTAAATTAATTTCAAATGTTTTAGGTAGTATGTGAGTATTTTCAGACATCTGTGGAAATATCTAGACCGTTTTTGCTTTGCTTAATAAGGTATAATTAACTTTATTTCGCGAATTAATTACTAATGGCTCCACTACCCAACCTTCTAGAAGTAATCAATGATTTATACTGTGAAAAGTTAGATAACATAGGTGATCTAGCTATAACACAGTTTTAAACAAGGGTTTTAACATGCCCTAGTAGCCTATTGCTTGTATGAATGCATCTCTTCAGTATGACATTATATTTGCACTCACTATTTGGTTTTTTTATTTTTCTTCCTCCCTCCTTGCCTCATTTTCTCGCAGAGATCAGAACATTCTGGATCCTACTTTGGAATATGTTAAGGTAAGGTACCATTTCTTATGCTTAGAAGATTTCATTTGGTATATAAGCAGCACTGCCAGGGCATTTCCAGTCATTTGTAGTTAAATAGTACTTCTGTCTATCTGTTGATACAGAAAAACTATATGTGTCAGACTACTTTCTTCCTGCTTCAGTGAAATGCTTGTTGGCATTGTGTTTTGGGGGGGCCAGTTGCATTTTTATATTGGGGTCTCTTCAGTTCCATGGTGACTACCTATGATCTTGCCTCTGTTAACCGATTAAAAGAATCCATATTGCTTATGGATTTAAGGGAAAGTAAAGGAACACATCTGAAAAGAATATAAAAATTATGATTTAGGTTTATGGTTTTAGCAATATACTTACTTCTGTTACAGTTAGGAATTCATTTCTGGTCCAAAAAGTAACTGGAATCCTGGCAAAATTGTTAATTCTGTTTTCCTTTTCTACAAGCTTGAAGTGCTGAAAAAAAAAATTAAAATAAATGTGTATTTTGTTAGAATAAATAAAAATACTCTGGAGCATTCATAAATGTTATTGAAAAATCAGTCCTCGATTGACAATATAGAAACTTTGGAAGAAGCCTTAAGGATGCGATTCTGCATTGAGAGTCTCTTGCAGTGCTGCCATTTCCACTGAATTAGTACCTTTCAACATGTCTCATTTCAGTGAATATTATTTCTGAGAACCTTGGAAATATCTGGCTTCTATGTTATGTCTCTCAACAATGGGCTTTTTTAATTGTTGGGCTTTGTTCCCTGTCTTTTTGAAGACAGTAATCTTCTGAACAGTATCCGATAAAAAAGGTTAACCTTGAATGTAGGATATTTATCTATTCATGTACACAGCCTGAATTTCTCAGACACCTGAATTTCTACTTCAGGTTAGAGTTTGGGTGAAGAAGAGACTAAGGAGAGACAATCAGCTGGGTTCTGCTGCTAGATTTCCCTCTGTGGGCGTTCATAGTTGAGGGAAATGGAGAGTGTCCAGGTTAGGGTTCATTCAGGTTGATCACAGAAGTGAACTAGGAGTGTGTAATGCAGTGTTGAGAGGGCACTGCCAAAGGATAGTGCCAAGAATCAATTTGCCTGAAAGTGTGGAGGGGTCCTGTGCTGGACTTTGTGCCTAGGGCTGGGGTGGAGGTAGGAATTAGGGTTTCAAAGAAGAGAAAGGGAAGAGCAAAACACAAAGGTCCATGGAAAAGGGGCTGTCAGAGGACTCTGAGGACTGCTGCTGGAATTCTGCTCTAAACAGCTCAGTGTTGCAAGGTCCCTGGCTTCAATTCCAGCCTAAAGTTGGGATATGGTAAAGTAGCAAAGACGGAGAAGGCCAAGAGCCTTCTGTAGAATACTGTACAAGAGGGGATGCCAAAGGCAACAAAGTGGTGGACATGTTAATTGCCCTATTTAATTTACTGTCTATCTTGCATTATACTATACACGTTGTTACAGTTTTAATAATATGGCCAAGTAGAAGGCAGAGGTTTCGTGTGCCAATTCATCAATATGTGTGTCTTGTCTTGTTGCAGCAAGTTCTGTATTATAAATGTGGTTTCTGATCTTTTTAACTTTTCTAGTAGAAGCTTGTCTTGGACTCTTGTCAATAGCACTGGTGCTAAGCTTTGTTGTTAAAACTTTGATGTTGGGGCGGAAAGCCTGGGGAAAAGAGTCTTATGAGGGAGAATACAAGGGTTACCATCCTCTTCTTTTCTCCTTCCTCTTGCATTTTTTCCTGTGTATACCCCTCTCTTTAGATAACTATGAGTTTTGTCCCCAGTTCAGTGATATTATTAACCCCCTCAATATTTTTTGGCTGTTTAAGACCAGGTTAGTAACAAAACTGATTTCAGAAATGTATCCTTACACAAAAATTATCATTAATGCCAAATAAAGGAGGCCTCTCATCAATAATTTGGTATCAGTTTACTATGATTGTAAAAGATGTGCCTGAATTTCTAACAACAGGGTCTTGGAACCCCCTTTGCTGGCTTAAGTTTCAGTAAATCCATGTTCATTGTTTTCTCTAACTCACCTTATAGCAATTATTACATTAATGTTTATAAATTTTCCAGCTTCTTGAGTACATTCTGACTTTGCTGATTCAGATACCAAAGTTCTGAGAGACAGATTGAAATTTCAGATGCCCAAGAAAATATTGTTAGTATTGTCTCTAGGCAGAGAAGTGTTGATTGACTGACTGAAAATGCAGATAAACTTGAATATTGTGTATGGTGTATCAAGCATACAACAAAACTAACACTAGAACAGGCTAATTGTACACTAAGTCTTGATAGCAATTATTGTTTCATCTTTCTCTAAAGAGAAGAGAGATTTTGGCTTACTGTGTTTTTTAACAAGGCAGATTATCTTGAAAGTAGTACATGGCACAAGTTTAAGTTGCATTAGGGTGGTCTAGCTGCTGGTGATCCTACCCAAGGGTTAAAGTCCCAAGCGAAGTGTGCTATGTCAAGGCCCTGAGGGCACTGATTTGCCTTAACTGTCCTAACCTTAGCCTCATTTAGGACTTCCACCCGCATCCATAGAGCAAGGGCTCCATTTAAGCTCAGACTGGGGCCTTCAGGCCCAGCCTGAGCTGTGTCTTAGGTATGCCTGCCCTTAGCCCTAGTTCTGAAGTGCTGTATAGGAAGCCCTGGGTGGTCCTTGGACCTGCCCTGTTATGCCGTCTTACCTGAGTCTCACAGGACTAAGACCTGTTGGTGTCATCACCCTGCTCAGCTTGCTTGCCTCCTGGTGCTGTGGGACTGCACCTTCTTGGTGAACACATTGTCCACCCTGTGCTGTTGGATCTCCTTCCTTTAGGGAGCAACCCTACTCTTGCTGCACCCTGACATGCTAGTTGTAGCTGCCCGTTTTGAAAGATCCAATATGACCAAATGCGTGCCATCCTCAGAACTGATCCACTTTCTCAGCTGCACAGGCATACCTAATCTCCTTCAATTCCAAGACAAGCAGCTAGTTTTAAACTAGCTAGAATTTAAACCATCATTTTAAGAGGGGAAGCTGGGCACAGAGCTTATCCTGTAGCATGCTAGTTGAGTTTCTTGTGAGTCCCATGAGAAAGACAATTAATACTTGTTGAGAATGTGCTCCTGATGGGCAGTGATCAACATCTCTTCAGAACTGGACTCTGCTGTAAATAGAATGCAGAAAATTCATTCAGGTTTGTGGAAAAGTAACAAGGTTTTGCTTTTTGCTTGGGTTTTTTTGATCCAGTGAAAAGAATACGATAGTGTTGGTTGTGGCAGTAGTGACTACAAGCAGGCATTGCTGTATAAGTCACAGAGACTGATGGCAAACTTAGAGGCTGAGTCTATCAATTTGCTTTCCATACAAACCTTTCCTGGCTAGAATCTGGTGACTAAAAGTAACATAAATAATTTTTGTATTTAGAAATACTTTGGACAGAGGAAAGGCAAAATAAATTGGGCTTTTTTTTCCTGTTCTGTTCAAGATAAAAGACAGAAAGTGCTGATTATTATATTAATCCTCTGAAGGTTTTTTTATTAGAGAATGCTCTCTATAGATGCACTGTGTTTTCTAAAACTTTAACGTAAATTACAGGTAACAAATAGCAATTTCCTGCACCTTGGATATTATGGTTAGTTCATTCAGTACACAGAGAGCTAATTATGCAAAAGCAAATTCTAAGGGAAAAAAGAAGTACTGATTTGCTGGAGCCTGAGTACTGAAGTGTCCATATGGCTTCAACCCTTCCTTTGTCTTCACAGTCTTGCTGAAACCATGGTCACAGTTAAATGGCTCTTTCAAAAAACCCTTTTATGGTGGAAGTGAAAACAGGCCAGGCTGCTTTGAGTCGGGCTGCTAACCAAGTCATGAAAGAGATTTACGGACACAATAGCACGTTGTACATTCTGTGAGATTTTTACAAGTTTTATGAGCCAAATAATAGATCCATTGGTAGTCTCAGCAGGTTCTTCCCACACCCTGAGACTGCACATCCACAGAACAGACTCCTGCAGGGGGGAAAGGATCAAGTGCTGGCAGATTTAAGTGTGTCAGAGAACTTCTTGTGAGTCGTTTTCATCAAGTTCATGTGAACTAAAGATAGCTTTCTGTCCCATTCCTGTTAGCTATAAATACTTTAGGATCTTTTAATAGAAGTCTGTGCTGTAATCATCAAGGCTGTTATCAGGGTGGAAGAAAGAAAAACAGATTTCTCTCTTCCTTTCACATTTCCTGTGGGAATAGTGCTAATAATTACAAAAATATGTATCAGCAATGAGTCGATAAGTAGTATTATGGCCTGAGGTTTTTGAGTTTAATCTATTAGTGGAAAAAAACCCCAAATTTATGACTGATTGTCTGCTCAGCATGATCACAAGGGAAGTTTATATTTAGATTCGGACTTGAAAAAAGCTGTCACTGGTCTAAGGAAGTTACAGCTGCAGAAAAACACTATTCCCTTCCAAAGTTCAACTGAAGGATTCTTGTTTGTCTCTGCCCCACAGTGCTCATTTTTTTCCGTTTTTACTCCTCTTTGATTTTGTTAGAAAGCAAAATATCATAGAAATTATTGCCATTTTGTGAGTGCAACTGAAAATACATTTTTTATGACATTCTTATCTATTGGTCATTATTTGTAGCTTTGCAAGATAGAACAATATTTTGTGAATTTTATTCAGCTTCAGAGAACTTTGATCAGGTGATGAGGTTTATAGATGCAGTTTGTTATAGTTGATTGCACAAATACATAATATTGTGGATATCAATCCAATATATGTGTGCATGTTTGATCATTCTAATGGCTGTGCCAAGAAGATAATGTAGTAAGAATACTATGAAACATGAAATGTGTGTGTGTATGTATGGTTGGGAAAGTTTAGGAAAAAAGTCTATGTCAGCATGACAAGTAGTCACACTTTGGGAAAGAATTCTTCCTGATGACATTGGAATTCCATTGCAAGGAGCCTTTTTTAGACATGGAAATATACATTAGAGAAATCCCCAACCCACTAGAAAAGT